GGGTACCTACCTCCTCTGTTGTAGTTGCTCATGAACTTAATTCGTCTCGTAGCAGACGTGCTTGTTTTCTACGACGTGGGAGAGTTTTCGTTGACGCATGTACAGTGGGGGTCCCCAAATAAGGCGATCTGAGCGTAAATCGGTCGCCCCATATTAGGCAGGTGAAGTTGGTTGGCATCGACGGAATAGTTAAGTTATACTCTATACGTTGAGTAAGGCGGCTGCCCCGTATAAGGCGGTCATTATCAGCTGCCCCCCCCCACCGTAGTTGCACTTCGTGACAGACGTGCTTGACTCACACGCGCACTTTTTCGTTTCATGTTTGTCTTGGTCTTTCGAAAAAACGAACTGAAAATGAAACTGAAAAAGGACACGAGCGTGGTGGAAAAGCGGCGCTCCCTGCAGGCCAAGAAACAACGTCTACTCAAGGGCTTGGAAACCCTCATGCGGATGGCCCCCGACCTCGTGGCCACTAGGCCGGGCGGCGGAGCCGGAACGGCTGACGATTACGCGGACANCACACGGATTGAACAGGGTGTACTCTTGTGATGTTTTGCACTCTTGATGTTTTTCATGCCTTGGCGGTTAGACCATTGACCACGCGTCCTCGAGAGGACGGAGCGTTGCTCCCACAGGACCGATCACCGATGGCCAATCGTTGTTCCTTCCTACTTTGCCGCGCCGAAGGTGGCTCCAAGGCTCTAGCCTATCTATCCTAAAGATATCACTTCCCACCTTTGCAGGCGGGGGGGGGAGTACTCATGTGTAAGCGTGCGGGAGTCGGTAGACTATTGACCTCGCATGTTGCCGGGACGAAGCGGTATGCAGATGCGGGGAGGGTCGTAAGAATTGCAATGCAGAGAATAATTTTGTCGGCTCGTCCCGTGTCTGTTGTGTTGCTTCCGCGTCACCCCCTTTTCGAGACGCGGAGCGCCTTGTATATTTGGTACATTTCGATGCTAACCCCTTTTCCTCGTTTGTGAATGTTACTGCTAGAGGTTTAGATACTCATCAAGTTTCAAAAAGAATACCGATCCCATGCATGTAAGGCGCTGAATGACTCATCACTCGCCATCGCACTTCTGCGTCGTGTGCTTGATTTACATGACGTGTGTATATCTCCCCTTTTCTATTCCGTGTGCAGCAGGGGGACTGACGGGCGCGACGATCCGGCAGAGATGAAGGCTCGCTTGGAGGAAGCAGCGCTCTTGGCGCAGGTAATGCTGAACATAAAGATGCGCCCGTTACGATTCGTTGTTGCTGTTGTTGCTGCTGTGTGTTTTTTGTTGTAGTTGTTGTTGGTGCTGGTGGTGCTGTTGTTGTTGCTGTGTGTTGTTTTTTGTTGTAGTTGTTGTTGGTGCTGGTGGTGCTGTTGTTGTTGCTGTGTGTTGTTTTTTGTTGTTGTTGTTGTTGGTGCTGGTGGTGCTGTTGTTGTTGCTGTGTGTTGTTTTTTGTTGTTGTTGTTGTTGTTGCTGGTGGTGCTGTTGTTGTTGCTGTGTGTTGTTTTTTGTTGTTGTTGTTGTTGGTGCTGGTGGTGCTGTTGTTGTTGCTGTGTGTTGTTTGTTGTTGTTGTTGTTGTTGTTGTTGTTGTTGTTGTTGTTGTTGTTGTTATTGGTGGTGCTGCTGCTGCTGCTGCTGCTGCTGCTGTTGTTGTTGCTGGTGCTGGTAGTACTGTTTGTCTGGACAACAGCCGGAAAACGCAACGTCTCCCCCAAAAAAACAACATAAAACTTCTCACCTCTCTACCTCCCACAAACAATGCAAGGCGGAGGGAAGATCGACCAGCACGGATTGGAGCAGCACGGCGTGGAGCCGCCCTGCTGCCTACACCGCCGCGGCCACCGGTATGGGATTGACCGCCTGCTCCCTTTATTTGGACTTTAGGGTGCATCCGTGCACGCATGCCGCTCGATGGCAGTGATTCTTGGTGAAACCTACCCCTCGCACTGAGATGAGATGGTTGTTCCATGCAAGAAGAATAGTGCACCCTGTATCCGGTAAAACGTACCGTACCGTATTCGCCAGGAGGCAGGCACACAGTGAGCCATGGGTGTTCCATGCAGGAGTGCAGGCGTTTCTGTGGTTGTGAAGAGCGCGTCCCCGTCCTCCTGCTTCGCCTTTGGATTTTTCGTCCTCGCATTTCGCTCTCCGTGAAACGATCGATCGAGTCTGCTGTACCTCTTGCCCCAACAACGCCTGCTGCGTGGTAGTTACATCAGGGGTCGGGGGGCACCTACAAGGCCAATCGGCAGGCGGCCCCGCGGACTTTGTATCTGGCCCTCTCCTTTGTGTGTTTACTGTCATTCTCTCCCCCCCCCACCTCTGGCCATCGGTGATCGGTCCTGCGGGAACAACGGTCCGTCCTCTCGATGACGCGTGGTTAATGATCTACATAGCAACTAGGGTGCAAAACGTGACTTCTTCACCACCGCCACCGCAGGCACTGGCACCTTCTACGGGACGGGGGGGCTCGGCGGACGGCAGCCCTCTGGTGGGAGTAGCACCACAGGCGCCGGGGGGGCCCGGCAGCCCGACCACTACGACCTCCCGGTGAGGCCTGCCCAGGGCGGAGCGGCGGTCGGGCTAGGCGCGCCTTCTCGAGGATCGGTGAGTAGAACAGTCTTGAGCATTTTTTTTTCTTTTTTCCATCCAGTGTGCTGGACGTCGGGGTATTTTCACAAGTTTTCGATACAGTTTCTGGGCGCACCAGCCCATGAGTAGAGCTGTCTTGGCATTTTTTATTTCTATTCATCGGGTATTCTGGACGTCGGGGTATTTTCACAAGTTTTCGGAACTGTTGCTGGGCGCACCCGCCGGGGGAACACCGGAAGAAGGAAAGGGATGGCGACACAGGATTCGTTTTTGTTTGGTTCGCCTTCCTTCAGCAGTCTTGGGCAATTTTTTGTTTCGTTGTTATGTCATCCCGTTTCCTTTTTTTCAAGTGTTCCAAGAGCGACGAAACGTTCACACCCCACCAGACGATCCGTGCAGAAGACGTGCTTCCATTAGTCAGAGGGCACAGCAGTCGTGTTGGTATACACGGTGCCGCCCAGGCGCGGGGGAACCCCGTAGCTCCCCAGTCATCAGATCACTCACTACCAACCCCGAAAGTTCCGTATACCATACCGACCGCATTGTATGACGAACGTTTATTCTGGGCGTCGGGGTAGTCTGCACGTGTTCGGTACAGTTCATGGACGCAGCAGCCGGGGCCTCACAGGCAAAATTAATTTTTCTCCGCCTTCCTTATGCGGTGCTGGCCTTGACTTTTGCTTCATATACAGTCGACCCCGCCTTAAAGTCACACCACGTTTTCCCCAAAAAAACAGTGTCTTTAACGCGGGGAAGTCACTTAAAATTCCGGGGCCACTAAGGCACCATCCCCGGGGCCAATGAAGGCGAAACATATGTCAAAAGGTGCGCATTCGCAGCAGAAAGGCGACCACAAGAGGTGTTGTTTGAAACCTACGACACAAGGTGATTTGAAGGTCGCAACCACTGCTGCTATGGTGCTGCAATAGATAATTGCATACCATTGTTTAAATTTCCCCGTACTGGCCTGTACCACCAAAACGCTTAAAGCGATGGTGTTCTACGACCTACGCATCGTACATGTACACGACGGTAGTGCGCTGGTGTTGGTTTGGGCTTAATTATTTGCTTTATTTTATTTTTTAGGCGCTGTCCTCCCCGTGAATATCTTGCCCAAGATCTCGCTACCGCACCTGAGAAATAGCGAAGGTTGTAAAACGACACTAAGAACNTACGACCTACGCATCGTACATGTACACGACGGTAGTGCGCTGGTGTTGGTTTGGGCTTAATTATTTGCTTTATTTTATTTTTTAGGCGCTGTCCTCCCCGTGAATATCTTGCCCAAGATCTCGCTACCGCACCTGAGAAATAGCGAAGGTTGTAAAACGACACTAAGAACATGTAGGTTACGCAGAAACACAGAGACCAAAAATGTCGGGAAAGCACAGCGACAAAGAGGACACCGCGCCTCCCGAAAGGTCAAAACGAGCACTCTCTCTGCTGTCCGTGGCCTTCCTCTCCGATGCCCCAACCACAAAACGCGTGCATGGGTCGCCCGCACGGACACTGATGAACCAGTGACACCAGTGCAGATTTTCACTGGCACGTCGGTTCGCCTCATGGCTTCAAGCCGGCAGCAGACGAACCGCTAGCAGATGGAATGAATCTTTCCATACACCCACACGCAGTGTGCGGCTGCAGCAGACCGCTGTTGATGATCCAGGATCTACAGGTGCTGCAGCACATTTTCTGGGGGGGTCGAATGGTGGAAAACCCTACCCCCCCTACTTTTTCACATCTGCGGGGCACCATGTTTCTGAGATTTTTTGTGTCCTTAAAGCGGACGGTGTCTTTAAAAATGGTGTCGTTAAAGCGGGGACGACTGTACCTGTTGCTTCGTGTATGATTTCTCGTCTATCGATACATGTGTGGATGCCATGAACGGCAGTTGATGGAGGGGGGGAAGGCTGTTGGCCGAGGGTCCAAATGGGCAACTGGCCCGCCTCTATCCTTCGAGGAGAGGAATTCTAGCCCTCCTGTTTGTCGATGCAAGCTTTCTTTTGTCTGTCGATAGAAGACGCCCTCCCCCGATTGGTATCTGGGTGTTTGTACAACCATTTCGGAAGCGTTATATTTCTCTCAACCCTGCGGTTGGTGTCTTGGCTTCACCAGTTTTCTCCACAAGGAATCGAAATTATTCTTGTATGTGGTTACAAGAACAAGACCAGCAAGCACCGCGCATGCTATCATTGGCAGCAGGGGTCTCTGCACGATGCCCTCGGCAGCGCAGCACGTGCGTTCCCCACGTCCCCGGGGGCTGGCTGCCGTCGTTGCTTCAGACCTTCTCGTGCCCTTACCCGCCGACCCATTGCCTCCCTTCCCCTGTTCTCTCCTCTCCTCCTTGTCTCGTGATTGTTGTGTGCGGGACGTCTGTCTGCTGTGTTTGTGTGGTGCCTGGTACGGCCATGCGTCATCAGGACCCCCGCCGCCCGGTTGGAGAAGGAGGAGGAGGAGGAGGAGGGGGAGGAGGAGGGAGAGGGGCGAGTGACGCGGCGAGCGCGGCGCAGCGGAAACAAGACGTGAGCATGTGTGCCGTACATGACGCAAGATGACATACCCACACAAGATAACACCCCCCCCCTCCACGCGCAATATGTGCCGAATATGACGCAAGATATCATACCCTCACACAAGGCCACCACCCGGAGGTAGCATTTGGTGACGGGTCAACACAAGGCTGCAAAACATTGCAATTTAAACCTTAAGGAGAACGTAGGATACCACACACAAGTGATAATCGTGTTACAAGCCAAAATTTCATTTACCTCCAAGCGAGGCTTGTGCCTCGAACGGAAGATGGGGGGGGGGGGGG